GATCCTCAGTAGGTACCCCATATTGTTCGATATCTAAACTACGCTGAGAAAATTGTTCAGAGGCACTTCGACGTGATGTAATGGTCAACAAGCTTGTCTCGCTTGAACAATTACGACTGAGTAGTGATTTCGATCCTCACTGGACGCCCCACACATTCGGCCTTGTGCCACATCAAAGCTACGCTTAGAAAATGAAGATTCAACCTGAACGGATAGAGTGTAAGCCTTCTGACCATAAAACCCGAGTTCGAATTCCATTATACGTTTTTTTATGGTTAACAAAACTTGTCTCGCTAGATCAATTACGGCTGAGTAGTGATTTCGATCCTCACTGGGTGACACGCCTGCGCCATTGAGCCACATGTAAGCTAGGCTTACAAAATCATTTTGGGCACTCCTATGTAATGTCCTGTTCACGAAGCTTGTCTCGATAGATCAGTTACAATTGAGTAGTGAGTTCGATCTTCACTAGGTACCCCATACTTTTGACCTTGTGCTATATGTAAACTAGGCTGAGAAAACCATTCAAGGGCACTTCGACTTGATGTAATGGTTAACAAGCTTGTCTCGCTAGATCAAATACGTCTGAGTAGTGAGTTCGATCCTCACTGGGTACCCCACACCTGCGCCATTGGGCCACATCTAAGCTTCGCTTAGAAAATCATTTTGGACATTTCAACGTGGTGCAGTGGTTAACAAGCTTGTCTCTCTAGATCAATTATGACTGAGTTGTGCGTTTGATTTTCACTGGGTATCCCATACTTTCGGCCTTGTGCCACATCTAACCTACGCTGAGAAAATTCGCATTCAGCCCGAATTGTTAGATTGTAAGACCATAAAACACGAGTTCGAATCTTAATATAGTCGATTGGTCAAGATGGCGACTTCTTGATAACAGTGGATAAATGGAAGAAAGTGTTGGTTGCAGACGAGAAAAAAATTCAACCCTGATGGTCCAGGCGGTTTTTCAGCGTCATGCAAAAGATGTCTCAAAAGAAATTTCATCAACACGACACAGTGGAGGTGGATCAATTCTGGTCTAGGGTTCATTTTCTTAAAAACAGAACAAACCTACAGGAGGTAAAAAGTCGTCAAATGATTGCTGCTAGTTACATTGACATGTTAAGAAAAATATCGCTAATTATTGAAGTTCGTCTATGTGGAAAAACTAGATTTCCCAACAGGACAATGCTGCAATGCATTGTTATTCGAAGGTCGAAGGAGTTTTTTTTATTGAAAACAACATTCAACTTTTTCCATCCACCGTGCTCTTCAGATCGAAACCCAATCAAGAATGTTTGGTGATGGATGGCAAACGATGTTTACAAACATGGATCGCAATTTGAAACTGTGGATGCTCTTCTTGCTGCAGTTTATGCATTCTGGGAGGGAATCCCATGAACCATCATGCAGAAGTTAATAATGAGCATGCCAAAGCGAATTTTCGAATTGTAAAATTTATAATCAATCAAAAATAATGACGTAATAATGTCGTTTTTGACGTTAAAAATACGCCCCAAAACGACATTATTACGTCATTATTTTTGCACCAACCTAATATATTTCATTTTAAAAAAATTTCGACTCACCCAGTATATATATATACTTATTTACCATTGAAGACCCAACAGAGCAAGATCGTCGAGTCCAGAGTAAAAGGTTGTAGGTAACCGGAAATTATTAAATGAGGGTGATATATTACTTTGGTGCAAAATAATGACCCTTTTTTAATGTCGTTTTTTGACGTTAAATTTACGTCAAAAACGACATTCTTAAAAAACCGGATTTTTGTAGAAAGTAATAACAGCGTTGAACGGAGTCATTATCCACAGTGAGCGAGCACGTAGACTCAGTAAAAGTCATACAGCGATACTTCAATACCAAAGACTGTATATATATATTTTGGCTACTAACCCGCATTCCTGGAACTACTAACCTGCATTACCAGTTTGTATTATTACATTAATACATTTATTTTCCTATATTCATTCCTGGCGTTTGTTATTTATTGATACCGGATTTCATCCCGGAATCCACAACACTATGTTATCTATTACGTTAATCTACGTTAATCTATTACGTTAATCTACGTTAATCTATTACGTAATCCTCGTTAATCTATTACGCTAGAAACGAACAGAGATAGATCGCTTTTCTCAAATTTCGTTTTCATGATACATTTTCTATAATCATAGATAGATAATATGAACAGAGATTTTAATTGTTGATAGATCAGATAGATAGATATTTCTACAAACATGGATAGATGATATATATATATATAGATAGATAGATAGATAGATGGATTTATAAATAGATATAGATATTTGAACAAACGTGTTTTTTCCTTTTATTTGATAGATAAGATATTCTGAAATACATTTATATTTAGATAAATGAGATAGATAGATTATAGATATGAGACATTGAACATTTAATATAGATATATAGATTAATTAACCAGGGATTGGTTTTACTCGGAGTAATTTTGATCGCTTTCCTCAAATTTCGTTTCTTCTTTCACCTTACTACGCACATTTCTCTTCTTATTTTTTTCTCTTTCTTTGTTTTAAATTTTCTCTTTAATATTTGCCACAGGATATGAGTGTGTATATTTATATATATATATATAAATTCAGCCTGACGATTTCATCCAGCATGACAGTCTGTCGCATCTGTTAACTTCAATGTTCACTTTTATATTTATATTTACACACGCTCTATCTCTGATATTGAGCACTTTATCCCATAAATATAGCACATTAGCAAAACTATATTTCTTCATATATAAATAATAGATACCAAGATATATTAGATAGATAGATAATAGATATAAGATGAAAATCATATAAACTTTTATCTAAAATCACAATTTATAGAAATTAATTATATGCCCAAAAATATCTTTTATAAAACCAAACGCTAACTACATTAGTTACCGTAATGAAGTGTCTATAATTTCAATTTAAAAAAAAAAATCCAGTTTTCAGGGAAAACGTTTGCGCCTAACATGAAAACAGCCTGTCGCCTCCGAATGTTGATATCTTCAATGTTCACTTTTATATTTATATTTACATTTAATGCTCTATCTCTGATATTGAAACGCACTTTATCCCATAAATATAGCACACCCTAAAACTATATTTCTTCATATATATATATATATATATATGTGTGTGTATGTGTGTGTTGTGTTTGTATCAAATAAAATTCCAACTCACTGTGTAATGTCGAGCACAAGGCCTAATATTACAGAAGGCATGACTTTTAACGAAGCTGGACTAGTCCCGTCAACAGGTTTTAACATACCCCCAAATACTTTTTAGACACAAGTGTAAACTGGACCTATGCCTACATTTTTGACAGTGTAAATTGGATCAGTGTTCTATAAACAAATCCCTTTTTCGTTCCGGATATTGAATAAAATTTTAATAGCAAAAAAAAAATTCCTTCTTTGTCTATATTATTGACTCTAGTATAAACCTGACCAAGGTTTACGTTCTTGAATCTAATGTAAACCGCCGAAATTATGTCTAAGATTCTTGACTCTAACATTTAAAGAAGACCAATCACTACCTTTTAGGCTGTCATAAAACATTTAAATGTCATTTTTTGACAAAAAATTGGATCAATGTCTACCTTTTTTTCACTCTGCAAAGTAACCCAATGTCCTTTTTCTTTCCAGTGTAAAGTGAACCTATATCTACCTTTTGATCAAATCGGCCCATATCTACTATTTTAACTCCTTTTTGACTTGGATCTAAACCGAACCTATGTCTATCTTTTTAACTCTACTGTAAACCGGACCTATGCCTATTTTTTTTTTATTTTAGTGTAAACCGGACCTATGCCTATTTTTTTTTTTTGTTAAAATTTTATTTTTTTTTTAGTGTAAACCGGACCTATGCCTATTTTTTTTTATCTAGTAAAACCGGACCTATGCCTATTTTTTTTTTCTAGTGTAAACTGGACCTATGTCTATTTTTTTTTACTCTAGTGCAAACCGGACCTATGTCTATTTTTTTACTCTAGTGTAAGCCGGACCTTTGTCTATTTTTTTATTCTAGTGTAAACCGGACCTATGCCTATTTTTTTTACTCTAGTGTAAACCGGACCTATGCATAATTTTTTTTTTACTCTAGTGTAAACCGGACCTATGCCTATTTTTTTTTTACTCTAGTGTAAACCGGACCTATGCATATTTTTTTTTTTACTATAGTGTAAACCGGACCTATGCTTATTTTTTTTACTCTAGTGTAAACCGGACCTATGCCTATTTTTTTTACCCTAGTGTAAACCGGACCTATGTCTACATTCTTGGCTCTAATGCAAAATCGAATCCATGTCTATATTCATGACTCTAGTTTAAATCGAACCTTTGTCTTCACTTTTTACTCTATTGTAAACCTGACCTTTATCTAGTTTCTTGACTCTAGTGTAAACTGGATCTATGTCTACATATTATAATCTATAGTAAACCGGACCTATATCTACATTTTTCACTCTACTGTAAACCGGACTTATGTCTACTTTTTAGTCTCTTATGTAAGATCTGACCTATGTCTATATTTTTAGCATGCATACAGTTTGAATTGGCATGTCCCAGAGGATAGTTACATCTTTATTTTCGGTAACTTTGTCTGGCTGATGCTCATACCATATCTCAGTGGTTTCGATTTCGTGCTCCTTGCATATCTTCCAGTGCACACATGTCGCTACCCTGTTATGTCTGTGGATATATTCATTTTTTGCTATTTCCAGGCATCCTGATATAATATGGTCGAGAGTTTCATCACATTTTCCACATTTTTATTATTATTAGTTGTTGTTGTAACAGATTGTTGTAACAGAAATATTTTCGTTGTTTTTTTTTTTGTTTTTTTTAGTTGTTTGATAAAATCCTTTACTAAGGCATTTTTTAAATTAATTTCACCCCAAGCAAGGTGATAAAGCCACTACAACGCATAGTTGGGTTCTTCAATGAAAAAATTTAAGAAAAGTGTTTTTTTTTTTGTTTTCTTTTTCTTTCCTTAAATTATTCATTTCCTTCTTTGTTTTTTATTTACTTTTTTCTTTCTTCCTTTCCTATTTCTTTCTTTCTTTTTCTCTATTTTCTTTCTTTCTTTCTGTCTTTTCCTGTTTATTTCCTTCCTTCTTTCTTTCTTTATTCTTTCTTTATTTAACTGTATCTCTCTTTCTTCTTTCCTTTCTTATTAATCGCCTTCTTTTTTCTTTCTTTCTTTCTTCTCTGTTCATTTCCTTCTTTCTTTCTTTCTTTCCCAATTTCTTTCTTTCTTTTTCATTCTTTCTTTCACTGTTTCTTTCTCTATGTATTTCTTTTTCTTTTTCTTTCTTTCTTTCTTTCTTTTTCATTCTTTCTTTCACTGTTTCTTTCTTTCTCCTTTCTCTATTTATATCCTTTTTCTTTTGATTTTTTTTTTTTTCTTTTTTTTTTTTTCATTCTTTCTTTTCTTTTTCATTTGTTTCAAATTTCTCTATTCATTTCCTTTTTCTTTCTTTCCAGATTTTAAATTTCTTTCTTTCTTTCTTTCTTTCATTCTTTCTTTTCTTTTCTTTCTTTCTTTTCTTTTTTTTTTATTTCTTTTAAATTTCATTTTTATATATTTTCAAAAATTCTCTCTTCTTCCTTTTTTGTTTCTTTTCTGTTCATTTTTTTTTTTTTTTTTCTTTCTTTCTTTCTTTTTTTTTTTTTGACTAAAATAAAAAATTCCGTCCTTCCCTCTTTCTTTTTTTTCTTTTTTTCTTTATTCTTTCTTTTTTTCTTTCTATCTCTCTTTCTTCTTTCCTTTCTTATTAATCGAAATTTTTTTTTTCTTTCTTTTTCTTCTCTGTTCATTTCTTTTTTTTTTCTTTCCCAAATTCATTCTTTTTTTTTTTTCATTCTTTCTTTCACTGTTTCTTTCTCTATTTATTTCCTTTTCTTTCTTTTTTTTTTTTTATTTAAATTTCTTTTCCCTTTTTCATTCTTTTCTTTCACTGTTTCTTTTTTTCTCTTTTTGACTAAATATTAAATTTTGTCTTTTTTCTTTCTTTCTTTCTTTCTTTCTTTCTTTCTTTCTTTCTTTCTTATTTCTTTCTTTCACTTTCTATATATTTTCACTGTTTCTAAATTCCTTCTTTTCTTTCTTTCTTTTCTGTTCATTTAAAAATGTTTTAAATTTTCTTTCTTTCCTTCTTTCTTTCTTTCTTTTCTTTCTTTCTTTCACTGCTTCTCTCTTTCTTCCGTCCTTCCCTCTTTCTTTCTTTCTTTCTTTCTCTTTTAAGTAGTTCTCTATTTCTTTCTTTTCTTCTTTCTCCTCTATAGATTTTCATCCAGCGTTTTTTCGCCATTATCGTACTATTTCTTCTGCCCTCCTTTCCAGCCTTCCGCCCGTTACAGGTTAGGCCAACCTAACGTCATCCAAGCGATTCCCAAAAAAACAAAATTAAGCATGGAAAAAGAAGAAATACTCGGCCCCTTTGCAAACAATGTTCGTTCATTACGCCGAAACTGAAAGAAATTTTTTCACCCCCCCCTTGACTCCATATAGACACACACCTCAGCGTTCCCTTTCAGATAAATGCGCGCGAAAATAATGCTTTTATTGTTATTAGAAAGGGCAAAATTCTGGAAAAAATGTTTCGCGGTAATTTTTATTCTCGGGAGCTTGGGTTAGAATAATAGTAGAAAAGAAGAGAGAAGAAACTGAAGGAGAGGGACAAAGAAGAAGAAGAAGAAGAAGAAGAAGAAGAAGAAGAAGAAGAAGAAGAAGAAGAAGAAGAAGAAGAAAAGAAGAAGAAAAAAAGAAAGAAAAAAAGGAAGGAAGGAAGAAAAGGTTTTAAATGGAAATCATGCAAAAGTAACAATGAAAAGAAGTTTAAAAGAATATAGAGATAAAGGAAGATTGAAAGGGGACAGAAACAGATAGAGGAGGAGGAAGAAGAAGAAGGTGGAATGGAAGAAGAAAAAGAAGAAGAAAAAGGAATAAGAAAGAAGAAGAAAATAATCAACACATTAAGGAAATTCATAAGAAAGGAAAAAAATGGCGTAAGTTGAGAGGAATGAACAGAAGAAGAAAATAATTAAGCAACTTTTATTTTTTATTGGAAGAAGAAAATTAAGCAACAAAAATATAAATAAAATCGAAAAAAGAAAAAGATAGGGGAAAGGACTGACATAAGGAGAAAAAAGTAGGGGACGTGGAGGAGGAAAAGGGGAAGAAGAAGAAGAGGAGGAGGAGGAGGAAGAAGAAGACGAAGAAGAAGAAGACGAAGAAGAAGAAGAAGAAGAAATTAAGCAACAAAAAATGTGATAAATTAAAGTGGAGAGGAATGAACAAAAAAAAGAAGATGTAGAAGGAGGAGAAAAGAAGAAGAAGAAGAAAGAAGAAGAAGAAAGAAGAAGAAGAAGAAGAAAGAAAGAAGAAGAAGAAAGAAGAAGAGGAAGAAAGAAAGAAGAAAGAAGAAGAAGAAGACGAAAGAAGAAGAAGAAAGAAGAAGAAGAAAGAAGAAGAAGAAGAAGACGAAAGAAGAAGAAGAAGAAGAAGAAAGAAAGAAGAAGAAAGAAGAAGAAGAAAACGAAAGAAGAAGTAGAAAGAAGAAGAAAGAAGAAGAAGAAGAAGAAGAAATTTGCTTTCTGAACAAAAAGGGGTTAAAATATGTAATGAATCAAAGGAGGTCTCCACTTGTGCTACTCTCCTCTTTGAGAGAATTATTTCTGTTTACTGGGACTATAAAAGGACACTATGAGCGAACCTTGTATTCTGAGTTGAATAAATCTTCCTTAAAGCCTACACCTGCATACTTTTGTCATTACAATGGCATCGAAGAAAAGGTGAACAAAGTCAATGATTATTTAAAGAAGCCAACGAAAGCCGATGGAGAACAAAAAAGATGACGAAGAAAGACGAAGGATGAATAAATTACGAAGCGTTATTTCAGAGCAGACAAAAAAATAAATCAGACAAAGGAAAAGAAAAGTTTGAAAAAAATTCAAAAAGGGAAAATTTGTTAAGAAGAAATTTAGTAGAAGAAGCAAAACGAGAAAGACGGCTGCAAAAATTAAAGAGAAACAAAATGGAGGCTCAACAGAGTGAAGGATATCAAAATATATCTCTGGCCTTTTAATTTTGTTCTATTTGTGGACCACTTGATTCGTTGCATGGCTCAATTTGACCTGAGATTTCTTCTTTCTTTCTTGCATTCCTTCTTTTTTCCCTTCTTCTAAATTACTCTATATTACGCTTTTTGTCTTTCTTTCTTTCTTTCTTTTAAATTTTACTTTTTTCGTTCCTTCCCTTCTTTATATTAGTTCAAATATACCCACCTCACTATTTTCTTTCTTTTTTTTTTCGTTGTTTTTGATTTAATCCACATTCGCACTTTATTCTCTATTTTCCTTTCTTTCTTTCTAGAGTCTAATTTGCTTTATCTTCGCCCTCTTTCTTTCTTTTTTCTTACTTTTTTCATAGTGTTTTGATCCCAGTTTTTGTGGACCTGGGAATAACAGCAATTAAGAGGCCTTGCTCCCGGATGTAGTTCATCGTCTTACCCAGAACGCGGATGTAGTTCATCGTCATACCCAGGACGCGGATGTAGTTTATCGTCTTATCCAGGACGCGGATGTAGTTTATCGTCTTACCCAGGACGCGGATGCAGTTCATCGTCATACCGAAGACGCGGATGTAGTTTATCGTCTTATCCAGGACGCGGATGTAGTTTATCGTTTTACCCAGGACACGGATGTAGTTTATCGTCTTGTTCCGGACGTGGATGTATTTTATCGTATTACCCAAAACGCGGATGTAGTTTATCGTCTTACCCAGGATGCGGATGTAGTTTATCTTCTTGCCCGGGGCGTGGATGTAGTTTATCGTCATACCCAGGATGCGGATGTAGTTTATTTTCTTCTCCGGGACGTAGATATAGTATATCGTCTTACCCAGGATGCGGATGTAGTTTATCGTTTTACCCAGGATGTGAATGTAGTTTATCGTCTTGTTCGGGACGTGGACGTAATTTATCGTCTTACCCAGTATGCGGATGTAGTTTATCCTCTTGAACGAGGCGTGTATGTAGTTTATAGTTTTAGCCAAGATGCGGATGTAGTTTATCTTCTTGTTCGGCACGGGTATGTAGTTTAACGTCATACCCAGGCTGCAGCTGTAGTCTATCGTCTTACCCAGGATGCGGATGTAGTTTATCTTCGTGCTCGGGGCGTGGATGTAGTTTATTGTCATACCCAGGATGCAGATGTAGTTTATTTTCTTCCCCGGGGCATGGATGTAGTTAATCGTTTTACCCAGGATCCGAATGTAGTTTATCGTCTTGTTCCGGACGCGGATGTAGTTTATCGTCTTACCCGGGACGCGGATGTAGTTTATCGTCTTACCCAGGACGCGGATGTAGTTTATCATCTTGTTCCGGACGCGGATGTAGTTTATCGTCTTGTTCCGGACGCGGATGTAGTTCATCGTCTTACCCAGGATGCGGATGTTATTTATCGTTTTACCCAAGACGCTGACGTAGTTTATCGTCTTATCCAGGACGCGGATGTAGTTTATCGTCTTACCCAGGACGCGGATGTAGTTTATCGTCTTACCCAGGACGGCGCAATATTGTAAAAGACTACAGGAAATGTGGCTTAGAAATTCGAAGTCTCATTGGATTAGCGAAAAATGTCTTGCAGAAACGTAACAACGTTTGAAGACACAAAGAATGGAATGGTATAGTGCGATGCCATATCTCTCCTTCTACCAGGCACAGCATGCTGGACAATCTCCTCGCAGGGTTATCATTTTGAAAAGAAACTTTAGAAGTTTGATATTACATGTGCTGTCCATGTAAGTATAAGAAGAATACCATAGACAGATCATGTAAGCAAATAGGAAGTTTTCAGGAAAATATAAACCACAGGGAAACATGTATTTACAATCGGAAAGATAGCGTCCAAAATTCTGTGGCACCTAATGATTCTTTTTTTTTTTAGTGATTGATTGATTCCGTTTTTTTACGGTTTGTCAACCCTTTGCAGTCTATTTAAAGCTAGAACATATTTTTCGTATTGTAAAAATTGTTTTTTTTTTTTTTAATAATATTGGTGATGGGATGATGTGGATTCATATCTAATCAGAATTTGATAAAAAAAAATCAAGAAATTATAACATGGATATAAAGTGAGGGATCAATTCTAAATTAAAATGAATACATAAAATGATCCCTCACTTTGAGTCCATGGCAGTTTCTATCCATTTATATTCCAGAGGATGTAAATAAATCTAAATGATATATCTGTATACCGAATCAGTATTTGATAGACAAACAAGAAATTATAATGTGGATATAAAGTTGGGGATCAATTCTACATTACAATCAATATATAAAATGATCCCTAACTTTGTATCCATGGTAGTTTCTATACATTTCTGTTTAGCTCATCAGTATTTCATTGATTGATTCATTCGTTTTTTATGGCTTATCAACAAACAAGAAATTATAATGTGGTTATAAAGTGGGGGATCAATTCTACATTACAATCAATATATAAACTGATCCCTCACTTTGTGGCCACAGTAGTTTTTATACTTTTATATTCCAGAGAATGTAAATAAATCTAAAAGACATTCCTGTTTAGTTCATCAGTATTTCATTGATTGATTCATTCGTTTTCTATGGCTTATCATCAAACAAGAAATTATAATGGGGATATAAAGTGGGGGATCAATTCTACATTATAATCATTACATAAAATGATCCCTCACTTTGTGGCCATGGTTATTTCTATACATTTATATTCCCGAGAATATAAATAAATCTAAAAAAGAAAACATGCCTGTGTAGGTAATCAGCATTTCATTGATTGATTCGTTTTCTACTGTTTATCAACCCTTTGTAGGTTATTTAAAGCCAGAAATATTTTTAGATTGTAAGAATTGTTTTAAGATAATAATGATTTAATGATACACGTCATACTAATTAACCCACAGCTGGGGGAAAAGACTGGAATTGAAATTCGGCTTTCTGATTAACAATTTCGAGAATTATCCATTACACCACCTGCACATCTAAGCTTATATCATCTGCAATTTCCAAGCGGTCACCCATCTAGGTACTGACTATGCTCGACGTTGCTTAACTTCGGTGATCGTACTGGAACCAGTATTTCAATGTGATATGGCTGTAAGCCTCACATAATGTGAAAGACGATCTGGAGATTTTAACACTCACATGGCATATTGACAGGATTTTTTAATGGCAGAATAAGAGAAAGTAGGATGGTAAAGGGTCAAAAGACAGGAAGTTGTGGAGGGCCGCGAACGATCACATTTTTAAAGGACGTAGCATATAAAATAAGTGAATGGATGGTATAAAAAACAAAAAGGAGTGATAAAGACTCAAATGTTACTTAGAGAAGCAAAAGAAAGGAAGTTGTGGAGAGCCACGAACAATGAACTTATTAAAGGACGTAGCATATAAAAGAAGTGAATGGATGGCAGAGCAGGAACAAAGTGGAGGGATAAAGACTCAAATGTTACTTAGAGAAGCAAAAAATAGGAAGTTGTGGAGAGCCACGAACGATCGCGTTATTAAAGGACGTAGCATATAAAAGAAGTGAGTGAATGACAGAACAGAAACAAAGAGAGATGCTAAAGACTCAGGAGTTGGAACAGCAAAAGACAGGAAGTTGTGGAGAGCCGTGAACGAGCACGTTTTTAAAGCATATAAAAGAAGTAAATGGATGGCAGCAAAAGAAAAAAGAGGGATGATAAAGATTCAGAAGTCACTTAGAGATGCAAGAGAGAGGAAGCTGTGGAGAGCCGCGAACAATCATATTAGTGAAAGACCTAGCATATAAGGAGTGAATGAATGACAGCGCAGGAACAGAAAGAGATGCTAAAGACTCAGAAGTTTGAGAAGCAAGAGAGAGGAAGTTGTGGAGAGTCACGAACGATCAAGTTTTTGAAGAACGTAGTTAATGGATACTACTGTACTGTACTGATGCGGCATTCACCCTGGGCGGATTGAGCCGGCTTCTTCCTGTTATGAGAAGAAGATTCTTGGGATAAATTACAGAAGTAGGGTACCCAGGCCTACTCGGATAACGTTCTTGCTTGCCGCGGGGTTCCCACAGACGCAGAGACAGGAACGACCAGAAGCCGCCAGTTACCAATGCAGACGCTCCTTGGATTTTCACCAGAGCCCTTGTTAGCCGGCGTGTGTCAGACCTGTCTGCCTTGGGTGGCCCTACCAGGAACGAAGTTCTGGGCAGCATAGCTCTGACACTACCGTTTACACCCCCACCCACCGACTGTGAGGTAAGGGTTGGATTTTGGGGGCTTACAGTACCAGGTATTCCCAAGCGGTCCCCCATCTAAGTACTGACCTGGCTCTACGATGCTTAACTTCGGTGATCGTACGAGAACCGGTGTTTCAGCGTGATTTGACCGTAAGCGTAGTTAATGGATGGCAGAGCAGGAACAGAAAGAGATGCTAAAGATTCAGAAGTTAAAGAAGCAAGAGAGAGGAAGTTGTGGAGAGCCGCGAATGATCATATTGAAGGGCGTGGCATATAACGAGTGAATATATAGCTGAGCAGGAACAGAAAGATATGCTAAAGACTCAGACGTTAAATATAGCAAAAAAAAAAAGACAGGAAGTTGTGGAGAGTCATTAACTTCTACGTCCCGATGAGACATGGGACAATGAAGAAAATATGGAGGGATTTCCAACTTTATTAGTCGTCTCTCCTTGTGTCATTGGGTGACGGAGAAATCACTGCAACGCCCGACAAACGACTGTCACTTTCCCGCCAAACTGCAACTTTTCATGACACCTGTTGATTTCCGCTTGACGCCTTTCTCACCTGAGCGACATCTATTTCCATCAAACATCAAAGACTTCTTAGAAAATCGTGTTGATTACAGGTGTAGATTCTACCATGGTTTACACCGGCTTTGATGTATCAGGTACCTCCCCCCACCCGCTGCCATAATGATGAAATATGGCTGTCGGTGCTTTTGACGACATTTTCCTTCCAATCTAAAATCGAAAGTGAAAGTGAAAGTAAAAATCGGAGGAGAGTAAATAATTTTTTTTTTTTCTTAATTTTTAATCATTTATTTATTCTTTTATTTTCCAAACATTTCTCGGGATTTTAAGCAAAACAGACTAAAAATAACGACGTGTTCAGTGAGATCGATCGATCGATCGATCGATCTCAATATGTTCAAATCTATCTATCTATCCAGTCTGTTCATATCTATCTATGTTCATATCTATCTCAATATATATCTATCCCATACTGTTCCTATCTATCTATCTATCTATCTATCTATCTATCTATCTAGCCCGGTCTGGTAATATCTAGCTAGCTAACTTCATTTTTTCAAATATTTCTCGGGATTTTCAGGAAAACAACGCAAAAATAAGCCAAGTACAGTGAAATCTATGAGTCTGACAGGCATTGTCATGCCGATTCATCTATGAATCTAGTAGAGTTAATCGATTTCCCTCTTTCGAAGCATGATTAATTTTTTGACGAAAGAGATTATCTATCTCTCTCTCTATCTATCTCTCTCGGGATTTTTATATATCTATCTAATACTGTTTAATATCTAACTATATATCTACCTCAATTTGTCCACGTCTATGTATCTGTATATAAGCTTGTTGACATCTATCTATCTATCTCATCCAAGTTGGTTAATATCTATCTATCTATCTATCTATCTATCTATCTATCTATCTATCTAAGATGTTTCATTAGGCGTATGTCTACTTATATAATTAATTATGTTCGTATCTATCTATCTATCTATCTATCTAGCTAGCTAGCTAGCTAGCTAACTAGCTAGCTATTAATATCCTTCTTCCATCTATCTCAATTTTTCATTTTCATCTTGATATCTATATCTATCTATCCATCTATCCCATTTTTTCGTATTTTATCTATCTATCTATCTATCTATCTATCTATCTATTTATCTATCTATCTAAGATGTTTATATTATAACATATCCATCTATCTTATTTTTTCATTTTCATTATCTTCTATCTATCTATTCGTCTATCTATCTATCTATCTATCTATCTAGTTATATTAGGCTAACTATTATAAATTAATTTTTCGTTCTATCTATCTATCTATCTAGCTATCTAGGTCAACAAGTCCATCTATCTCAATATGTTGATATCTATAACACTATCCATCTATCCCAGTTTTTTTCATTTTCTATCTATCTATCTATCTATCTATCTATCTATCTATCTATCTATCTATCTATCTATCCCAGTCTCTTGATATCTACCTATATTCCATTTTCCTTTTGACAACAAAACATCAGTGTACTTCATTAAATGTGTCCTGTGAACAACTGAAAGAGGAAAAATACATTAAGATGCTCCAAAATCAAGTGAATCCTACATCATCATAAACCTCATCATCCATTAGTGTTCAGAAAAAATTAATTTGTTGACACCGTGAATCTGGGTTACCAGTTTATTGTTATTCCCTGTCAAATGCATCATGCAGCACTCCAGACTCATTATGAAAAGTGAAAATTACGAAAATATATATATATATATATATATAATAATAATAATAATAATAATAATAATAATGGACTCTAAAGTCGGTTTATTAGCGACGTATGAGGATCTGACAATAATTGATTCAAACTGAGAAAACAAAATGAATCGATAATCTTAAGACCCGCAAGTGATTTACAAAAGGATAAAAGCATATAGAGCGAGTGTGAGGATTCAATAATTTCTCACTGTTAGATTGGCTGACATTTTTTCGATCTTGCTCTCGCTTCTTGAGGATGATTCAGACAAGCAAATTAAAAACTAAAACACGTTGATTCTACCCGCTCCAAGACCTAAATGCTCAAAGGGTGTTATCCCTGAATATTGACTGCTGACATGTTGCTTTTCAGCTTCTCTTTGTATCTTAGCGATGGGCGTCCTACATTCCTGTAGACCTGATCTAACCGGCTGTACATTAGGATCTTGCGTATCTTGTCATCAAACATTATCAACACATGACAGGTCCACCGTAACTGAGACTGTACGATAAATTGGGCCAGAAAACCCAATGGACAAGTGATTTGATTCAAAATAATTCGTTTGTGCAGAACCATCCACACGTCTGGAACTATTTATATCGAAGTCGTGCAAATAAATGTCACAGACAAGTAGACAACATAGATTATATATATATATATATATATATATATAATATATATATATATATAATATCTATATATATACACACACACACACATATATATATATATATATATATATATATATATTTATGAAGAAATATATTCTCAAGTTGTGCTATATTTAAAAATAAAGTGCATTGTTTTTTGGATATGTAGTTTTGATAAAAATTTTTCTCAAATAAAACAAAAATAAAACACTTTGATTTTAAATATTTTTTTTTGTTTAGACACAAATGAAATTAAAATTAGATGGCATTTGTATCATGTGAACAACCATTTCTAGAATTTTTGAAATTATATATATTCAATATATCTATATATAAATATAAATATATTATGTTTTTATGATATCAATATATATACATTCTCTAAATATATATACTTATATACTTATATATATATATATCTCACTATATATATATTTAAATCCATATATATATATATATAATTTCATATATTTATATATATAAATAAAATATATATATATATAAATATTTATATATATTTATATATATTGGTGTATATATTTATATATATATATATATTAAAGAGAAGAGAGATAGAGATCATTCTGACCGAAGAGATATTGGGGATTGTGGGTTTGCGTATGTGTGTGTTATTTTGAATTTGTTTAGTTTAGCCGTTTATTTTGTGGATACTTTATATTTCAGTAAAAGCTTTATTATTATTATTATTATTATTCAACACCATTTTTTTTATCCAACTTGATCTACCGGCCTGAATGTTCAAGAAATCTTGTCATATAAATATCAAAGTCCCCAAGTTCATTAGATCATCCTCTCTGGGAAAAAAGTCATTAGATAAATTTGCCCGACCAAAAAAGTCTCAGGCCCGATCAATTATTTCTGCTCATTCTCGAAACTGCCATATCTGCTCTCCGATGTCTTTTTTATTTACTCATGTGTGTGTCTGAGTGTGTGTCCTGTTGATTGCA